AGGGGAGGACGGAGGTCAGATAGAAGACTGAAGGGAGGACGGAGGTCAGATAGAAGACTGAAGGGAAGGACGGAGGTCAGATAGAAGACTGAAGGGGAGGACGGAGGTCAGATAGAAGACTGAAGGGAGGACGGAGGTCAGATAGAAGACTGAAGGGAGGACGGAGGTCAGATAGAAGGCTGAAGGGAAGGACGGAGGTCAGATAGAAGACTGAAGGGGAGGACGGAGGTCAGATAGAAGACTGAAGGGGAGGACGGAGGTCAGCTTTGAAGTGGACTCTTCGATAAGATTCAGTGAGGCCGCTCTTTTGGAGATCAGACACTTGCAGTCCTCTGACAATGAAGATGAAATGATGTTTTGGGTCCATTCGTGTTTATAACCAAATGCCGCTTCTTGTTTCTGTAGATTCTGAATTTCCGCCACAATGTCTCTTTACCCGTCACTAGAGGATCTGAAAGTGGACAGAGTCATACAGGTGAGTGACAATGGAATGTTTCCCTTACTGTTCACATGATGTGAATGTTTGTGCTTGTAGTGAATCTCTAGCTGTCCATACAAAGCCTCCGCTATGTGTCTGCACTTTCCCCCGCCACCAGAGGCTGAGGTTACATACACAAGGCTCCCCCCACCCACACATGACAGGACAGCTGATTGGCTGCTCAGATGCAAAGCACTGCATTGTGGGGAGGAATGTAAGGTGCCCCCCCATGATCTGGGGAGAGTCTGGTGTCAGATCAGGGGGAGGGGACAGCAGTATGGGGGGGACACAGAAATTAAAAAGCTGATATTAGCTAAGTTAGGCGTCCCTCAGGCTACTAAAGGAAAAAGATTTTTATTGCTGTTGTTGTTGGAATTTTTCTCTCATATCCTGTCTGGTCACTTGGACAGGAAGTGGGGGGAAATCTCTCTTGTCTGAGCTGCAGATGGCAGTACGACCTGGCAGAAGGAGGTCCTGTCAATGAATTCTGAATGATCACAGAAACATTTCAGACTGACATAAAATACACTTATTGACACAGTACAAAGCCCGACAACACCGGCCCCCGGAAACCGGTACAGTCCACGTTACAGTTAATGATCCTGACGCTGATAAGAACTCACCAGCAACAGGATCTCTAAGCCCTCGTTCACACCTGAACGTTTTGTAGCGCGTTCGACGAACGCTCTACAAAACGCTCAAACATCTCAATCCCATTGTATTCAATGGGTCTGGTTCCCACCTTGGCGTATTTTAGCCCGTCCCTAACGCGCTACAAAACTGCCCACACCTGAAAAGGTACAGGTACTACTTTGGGCCGTTTTTGTTGCGCGTTTCCATTGGGATACAGCGAATCGCGGTAAAAAAAATGCGCGACAGATGCGCATATGCAATACGCCTAGGTGTGAACCAAAATGTGGAGAGAGGACACTCGCCCGCTTCTGTATGATACTCCCTCACCCGCTTCTGCGTGACGCTCCCTCACCCGCTTCTGCATGACGCTCCCTCACCCGCTTCTGCATGACGCTCCCTCACCCGCTTCTGCATGACGCTCCCTCACCCGCTTCTGCATGACGCTCCCTCACCCGCTTCTGCATGACGCTCCCTCACCCGCTTCTGCATGACGCTCCCTCACCCGCTTCTGCATGACGCTCCCTCACCCGCTTCTGCATGACGCTCCCTCACCCGCTTCTGCATGACGCTCCCTCACCCGCTTCTGCATGACGCTCCCTCACCCGCTTCTGCATGACGCTCCCTCACCCGCTTCTGCATGACGCTCCCTCACCCGCTTCTGCATGACGCTCCCTCACCCGCTTCTGCATGACGCTCCCTCACCCGCTTCTGCATGACGCTCCCTCACCCGCTTCTGCATGACGCTCCCTCACCCGCTTCTGCATGACGCTCCCTCACCCGCTTCTGCATGACGCTCCCTCACCCGCTTCTGCATGACGCTCCCTCACCCGCTTCTGCATGACGCTCCCTCACCCGCTTCTGCATGACGCTCCCTCACCCGCTTCTGCATGACGCTCCCTCACCCGCTTCTGCATGACGCTCCCTCACCCGCTTCTGCATGACGCTCCCTCACCCGCTTCTGCATGACGCTCCCTCACCCGCTTCTGCATGACGCTCCCTCACCCGCTTCTGCATGACGCTCCCTCACCCGCTTCTGCATGACGCTCCCTCACCCGCTTCTGCATGACGCTCCCTCACCCGCTTCTGCATGACGCTCCCTCACCCGCTTCTGCATGACGCTCCCTCACCCGCTTCTGCATGACGCTCCCTCACCCGCTTCTGCATGACGCTCCCTCACCCGCTTCTGCATGACGCTCCCTCACCCGCTTCTGCATGACGCTCCCTCACCCGCTTCTGCATGACGCTCCCTCACCCGCTTCTGCATGACGCTCCCTCACCCGCTTCTGCATGACGCTCCCTCACCCGCTTCTGCATGACGCTCCCTCACCCGCTTCTGCATGACGCTCCCTCACCCGCTTCTGCATGACGCTCCCTCACCCGCTTCTGCATGACGCTCCCTCACCCGCTTCTGCATGACGCTCCCTCACCCGCTTCTGCATGACGCTCCCTCACCCGCTTCTGCATGACGCTCCCTCACCCGCTTCTGCATGACGCTCCCTCACCCGCTTCTGCATGACGCTCCCTCACCCGCTTCTGCATGACGCTCCCTCACCCGCTTCTGCATGACGCTCCCTCACCCGCTTCTGCATGACGCTCCCTCACCCGCTTCTGCATGACGCTCCCTCACCCGCTTCTGCATGACGCTCCCTCACCCGCTTCTGCATGACGCTCCCTCACCCGCTTCTGCATGACGCTCCCTCACCCGCTTCTGCATGACGCTCCCTCACCCGCTTCTGCATGACGCTCCCTCACCCGCTTCTGCATGACGCTCCCTCACCCGCTTCTGCATGACGCTCCCTCACCCGCTTCTGCATGACGCTCCCTCACCCGCTTCTGCATGACGCTCCCTCACCCGCTTCTGCATGACGCTCCCTCACCCGCTTCTGCATGACGCTCCCTCACCCGCTTCTGCATGACGCTCCCTCACCCGCTTCTGCATGACGCTCCCTCACCCGCTTCTGCATGACGCTCCCTCACCCGCTTCTGCATGACGCTCCCTCACCCGCTTCTGCATGACGCTCCCTCACCCGCTTCTGCATGACGCTCCCTCACCCGCTTCTGCATGACGCTCCCTCACCCGCTTCTGCATGACGCTCCCTCACCCGCTTCTGCATGACGCTCCCTCACCCGCTTCTGCATGACGCTCCCTCACCCGCTTCTGCATGACGCTCCCTCACGCGCTTCTGCGTGACGCTCCCTCACCCGCTTCTGCTTGACGCTCCCTGGCTAATGATCCCTCGCTGTCAAAAATTCTGCAGAATGTAAATCGCCAGCAAGACAGTAACACTACTGTTCCAGCAGGTGAGTACTGGTCTGCTTCATCCTGTACAGTGGCCCCACCAGCAACACGATCCTGATTGTTACATGGGCCTCACCTACACTGGAAGCCTCCAGAGCTTTGCCCTTTCAGTTCTGAGGCGTGTACATGTGCAGTGTGGGGGTCTGCCAGAACTAACCCGTCAGTTTATATCCCATTGGGTAGGCGGCTTAGTTGTTGGTACATCTAAAAGTGATTGTACAATCGGGTTATAATGTGTGCGGCCATGACGAGGGAACGTCTTATAATATATCAGTTCAGCATTGCCTTTCAGTGCAACAGAATTGGTACATTGTGATTTCCTGACACATGAAGAAGAAGTCCATGTATAGTGAGAGCAGTGAGCTCCGGAGAGCCCCACGTGTGACTACACACACCGCTGGTGGAGAACAGCTCGTTCCTCGTCAGTGTTTGTTGATGTCGGCTTTAATTACATGTTTTGTGGCTTTTTGGTTTTGTTTACACAACTTTTGTGGTGAGACATTATGTTCATGAGGCATCATTGTGGCCGTCAGTTGTCCTTCACGTGTCATACTCATCCACTCTCTTCCTTCTTACAAGTCTGTGGCATTCTGTGTCACGTGAAGCCTGAACAGCTTAGCATGCCAGTCTGCTGTGTGATCTCACGTGAAATAACAGATCACAGATTAATGATTCACAGAATACACAGAGATGATTCACCCCCCAGAACAGGAAGTGTCATTATCTTGTGGTCAGAATGAAATGATTAATCTGTATACCTTGCCGCACTCCTTACCGGATATCCCAGGAATAACGGGTGCTTGTAATGACTGCGGATGCTCATTATCCAATAACAAATGTAAATGTCACCAGCACTCCAACCCGAAGATTCACGTCAGTGCAAATCCATTTCATTGCTAGATGTCAAAGGAAAATTTGCTTTCGGGGCCGCGCAGGGTTCCCTTCATCAGGCTCAATATTGACCGTCATTTATTGACGGGACCCAGCGCGGCCCCGATAGCAAATTGTCTTTTGACATCTATCATTGAAATGGATTTGTACTGACGTGAATGCTAAGCTGTGCTGACGTGAATCTTGGTATTGGAGCGTCATAATGAAATGATGATGCCGCATAGTCACAAATGTCTCCGTTCATTACAATCTTCCTCTTCCAGGCTCAGGCCGCACAAGGGATTTCCAGACCACCACCGGCCCTCATGCCAGCGTCCGCCTCCCCGTCCGTTCCAGCATCTGCCGCAGGTAAGTGAGAACTCTTTATAGCAGTGGTCTCAAAGTACCGGCCCTCGAGGCAATTGCGGCCCGCAGCCAGCTCACAAGGCAGGTATGTGGTCACGGACCGGGTACCCGACTTGCGGGAGCAGCTACACGGTCTGCATCTCTGTCAGATGCAGACTGCAGAGCTGCTTCTGTGTTGGCACTCGGATTGATTAGTAAGGTCTGCAGCAGACTTTACCAATCAATCACCAGGATCGTGCCTCCTCACAGTCTCCTCCCTGCAAAAAGGTAGGCAGGAGAGGGGGCTCTGTATTTTATTTTACATGTGGGTGTGGGGATGGGACTGGGAAGTGTGTGTGTGTTTGTACTGGGGGAATGTGATTGTCTGCACACCGCATGTAATGGTACGTGATATGATTACATTCGGTTAGGAATCAATCACTCTCCCTGGACGCATCGATTGTGCATCCCGGGAGAGTGTTTTGTTACTGCATGTAATCATACCACGTACCATTACATGCGGTGTGCAGGAGTTTACATGCAGCTGCTGTCACCTGATCATTAGCCTGAATGGGTGACAGCGGCCGCTTTTAAACTCCAGATTAGGGATTCCTGACGCAGGAATCCCTAATGGCACCTAAACCTACAGCTTGAATGCGGCCTTATTGTGTGTGTATTGGGGTCCGTAGTACCAAACCGGGTATTGTTACATTTTATTGTAAAGTATGACATTTGGCAAGCCGGCCCCCATGGGAGAAAAACATTTGTGGAGTGGCCCCCGAGTGAATTGAGTTTGAGACCCCCTGCTTTATAAGAATCATTTCCTGATTTTCAGCTTTGCTGCTCCCTCTAGAGGAGGAGAGGTGTACAAGTCTTAGGATTTGTCAAATCTCTGTCTGTGACACCACTGGGGGCATTTTCCCCTCACTTCCTGTGATGCCCGTACAAGAAATGAGGGGGAAGTTGTTACTGGGACAAGAAGAGAGAGAGCAATAAAATATCACAAGTTCAATCCTTCCTCCCCTCCACCAAAATGTGTAGACCTGCCCTCAGTTCCTGTCTTGATAGGAAGTGAGGATTAATCTACCCAGCAAGGGAACAGATGAAGATAAAAGCCTGCCATAGGCCCCAAATCTTCCCCACTTTATTGGACTGGAGTTTGCTTTCTGAAAGGAGCCCGGTATTGTGTGAAATAAGAACATTTGATGATCATCTTCTGAAAATACAAGTTACCTGGCAGCCTGAATTTAAAGCCCATGCAGTGTCATCCCCTGAGCCCCTATACTCATCTTATCAATTCCTCCTTCGCAGCTAGCACAGAACCCGGGAGGGCGGTCACGTCACTATCCTGGTCACATGACATTGCTCAGGCCCAGTGATGGCCTTCTAGGCCCGGGAACTATTACAGGGAAGGAGGCCACATGCTTTCCTCAATCGGGAAGTGCTGCATATTCTCAATGGCTGCAGGGGAGCAAGTAGCTGCAAGGGAGCACAGCTAAGGAGAGTATGGGGGGGGTTGTCACGTCACAGGATACCTTGGCCTACATGGACACCGTCTCTTTAATAGTCTTTAGATGATTGGCCTAAAATGATCGAGGCAGAACTATAACAACATACCTAACTATTGGATCAGAAGGAAGATCAGCAATGGCACCTCCTCCGGTCATGTGTGAAGTTTGCTGACAGTAGTGTTATCATCTGCTCCTTTCTAGGTTTATACCCCAGTCTGAGTGAACTGAACAATTACATGGGCCTGTCACTGTCCGAGGAGGAGCTGCAGCTCAATCTATCACTGGTCCCATCTGGAGGAAATGTGAGTATGGCCGTGATTTCTGTGATAGATTTCCACATTTTCTTGCTTTGCCTTTTGCAATGTGCTGCCCTCCATCTAAACTCACCGGAGATGTGTATATGGAACATGAAGGTGTTAGGACTGAACTGTCTACAGAGAAGGAGAGCTGTAGATGGCTAAGCCTTAGGATACACAGGCAGGCTGTTGGTACTCCTGAATAGAAGAACTAGCACTTCAATGGTTGAGCTGAGGCGGTGGCTCAGAGGATAGGAGCTCTGACTCGTGTGCTGGAGACCTGGGTTCGAATCCACACAAACACTGGAGACTTCCAGGGTGAATCTGTGAGAGTGCTGGAGACCCTCCTGGGTGCAATACCACAAGAGTGCTGTAGAGGGAAGGCCTTGTGTGTCCTGGGTGCTGTGCAGTACCTGAGCCCTCTGGTGGTGGGTCAGAGCAGTGGGAAATATTTCAAACCCATTACTCTGTCCCACCACTAGGGGGTTCAGATACTGCACAGCACCTGGGAGGTGACTTGGATACAGATATATATATATATATATCTCTGGGGTGAGCCAAAAAAAACCCTAAGTCCCTAAATTTTGAATGGGCCGCCCTGGTAAGACAGCCCCTTGTATTTATATATGTTGCAGTGATGTCACAGACTATGGACCGAAGAGGGGGTAGTCCACACTCTATTGTGATGCCACACATGTTACAGGCCTGTGGGGGCCTGGGACTGGAGCAGACTGGTGGGTTGTCCATGGCCTCCAAGCTTTCACTCAGCGATTCGAGCTCGAGTCTACTGTGCTTCCATGTACTCGCCCTCGGGGGGGTCTACAGTGCTCTTGTGGTATTGCACTCGGGGGTCTACAGCACTTTCATGGATTTGCACTTGAGGTTTGCAGCACTCTCATTGGTTGGCCCCTGGGGGTCTACAGCGCTTGTGTGGATTTGAACTTGGGTCTACAGTGCCCTGGGTCAACGCTCTTATCCACTGAGCTACTCGCCTCTGCTCAGCAACTCACGTGTTCATTCTCCTAGTTCAGGAGTAAAAAGTTCTCACAATTCCACATAGATCAATCTAGATTCGAACCTGCGACTCCAAAATCTCTGCTGGGTTACGGGCCGTCTGCTAAACCTCTGGGCCAGCTGGCCCATTGGATCTGATGGCGATATATCCGGACTTAGTAAGTGAGACGTGATCAGCGACTCCAACAAATTCAAATAGAGGAACCGAGATCCGAACCTGCGACTCCGAAAATTCATCCCCCCCGCTGGCTGGCTGCTAAACCCCTACGCCAGAGACAAGCTCTGGCTTGGGGTTTAGCAGCCAGCCCCTTGAACATCCAGACTCAGGAAATCAGGACTTAGTATATAAAATTCAATAATTTCCAGACATTCAAATGATCTGAGATATTCCTCCGACAATATTCATGACGAGCTCCTACACAAGGGGTTAAAAAGTGGCACTTAGAATATTTTTCCTTATTTGTAGATGTGTCTCTGGGGCTCAGCAGCCGGCTCTCTATGTATCAGGACTTAGTACATAAAATGTCATCATTGACTCCTCTCATACTCAGACTTTGGTTCATGATGTTCATTGTCAGCCACAGAGATTTTTTTTGGTGGGATTCGATCTCATGGCGGTAAAGTGAACGCTGTCCGGCCACTAAACCATCAGGTTTAGTGATGCTGGTTCTGGATACACCACATCAGGTGATGCTGGTTCTGGATACACCACGCCACCTCTTATTGTTCCAGACACTCAGGACTGTGACTGTAGGTTCTGTATTGTGTGTTTGTTGTTATTTGACTGATTTCTTGTGCAGCCAAAACTCAGGACTTCTAGTAATATGTGGAGAATAGCAGCACTTATAGGGCAGCGGGCTACACCGCCTGTGCTCATTCCATGGGGTTTTTCTTTCCATGTCGGAAGGAGTTGGGCATTGAGAGCTCTTATACTTTGAGCTGTGTCACCATTTTATAGCGGGGCAGTGTGCTTGGTAGACGAAGGGTAAGGGAATGGGTTCACTTGAAGGGTTTAGAGGTTGGTCTGTGTACCGGAAATAAACACACAGGAGCCACAAGGAGGTCTATACAAGTCCATGGCAGGCTGGGCGCTGATAAACACTGACTGTACAGACCACAGCTTGCCATTGACTTGTACCTGCCGGCTGCACACAGCACTTGTGGATCCCGGGCACGTGTGACAGTACATAGACATCTGTGTCCGTGTGAATGATACAACTGCACCTTTATTATAAAATCAATATTATACCGAGCCCAGAACACGTAATAAATCAGCACTATAAATGCTGCAACTTTATTCACCACATTAACCTAAAACCTTTCCAAGAAAACATCATCACTGACTGACCCTGCCGACCTCCAGCGGAGGAACAAGGACACAGGAAGTTGCTGTGCAAGTCCCAGCATTCAATGCACCTGAGGACACTCACTCCCACCTATTAGCTGATAGGAGGACATGCTAAGGAGATTGAGTGGCATTGACTCTCAGCATTCTACCATTCAGGTGCAATGAATTGTGGGACTTGTAGTGCAGAGGACAGCACTTCCTGTGTACTCATTCCTCTACAGGAGCCAGGTTGGTCAGTTAGTGAAGACTGAAGGGGTCACCAACAGGAGCAGAAGATTCATATCACCTTGTTAGGATTCAATCTGTCCAATGGGGGGGCGCTGTTCTGAGCTTCTATTCTAACTTTACTAAAGACAGATTGGCTTCTTAAATAGAGTTCTGAGAAGTTATGAAGATCAGTGTAAGGAAAGACAAACATTGGCAGCCATTGCCGACGTCCTTCTGGAAGTTCCTAGATCGTGGCACTCTCTGACCACAAACAAGGATGCAGCGTACAGATCCTGGGCTCAGTGACTGATCAGTGCAGGAAACTGGCATCTTCAGAGGAGCAGATTTACACCTGACAAGTAAACATTCTGTACTTTCTGCATGTTCTGTTGTTTAATTCTACCAAAGACAACACACAATATTTACATGTGACACATTGCGTTTCTAAACTGGAAGCAAATAACAATTCCGCCACACACGTGATCTCCATCTTTACTTTGATAGGGAAACAGAGAACATGCAGACAGTGTGGTACAGATCCTCCGTTCATGAATAGTTCTCTAGAGAATTCCTAAAACTTCCTGATAAAATAAATTCTTGTGCTACTTCTCTTCTCTGGTTCATTCAGCGACAGAAAACCTAAAATCACGCGACTTGACTACACACGTCATTGTCACGCGTGTTTGGCATTTACATTGACTGGTAAATTCAGCCATTGATGTTTCCTCTGACATTTGTGTCTTTGTTTCCTGTGCAGGATGTGGCCGTCCCCAACACCATCTCAGGCAGGTTGGTTGCCCCCCTCACGGGTAATGACATCGGTCTGAGACGTGCTGAAATTAAACATGGAATTCGGGAGCTGATCTTGTGCAAAGACGAGAAAGGGAAGGTGGGCCTGAGGTTACGAGCTGTAGACAAGGTGAGCAGATAAAGAAAGCCGAGCAAAAGTGATCAGTGATGGGGAATGAGATTACACACCCGGTTATTTGATGGCCCCGAACCCATTGGGCTCAGAGATACTGAGGAATTGTTTGCCGTGTCTTTCCAGGGAATATTTGTCCAGCTGGTTCAGGCCAACTCTCCGGCCTCTCTGGTTGGCTTGCGGTTTGGAGATCAGATCCTGCAAATCAATGAGCAGACCTGCGCCGGATGGAGCACCGACAAGGCACACAAAGCCCTGAAGAAGGCCGGACAGGACCGGATCAGCATGATTGTACGAGACCGGTGAGTTCCCCCCCATCACACCGCAACCCCTTATACACATAGATACAACAATCACATTCATCTCCACTTTATTAGACAATAAAGCTTTATTAGAACACAGACAACCATCATCCTGCTCCCGTGTCATCACATCTCCAGAGTACTGCTGGTGACCGGACAATAAGCTGAGCCTGTAATACAAAAGCAGTGAGACACAAGAGTTAGCCGACATGAGGACAGGGCCCCCTAGTGGTGACATTGATAAAGAGTTTTAGGTCTTCAGTATAGGAGTACAGTCTTATTTCACCTGCCGTATATGTTATACATGAAGGAAACTTGTTCTCGGGATTATTCGTTCCTTACACGTCACAAGATAAAGCACAGATCAGTTTATGTTTAGTAATGTACCTAATGAAAGGCATTGCAGGTGAAGGGTTGCCTCACACACTTAGACATTAGCCCTTTCCAAATCCTAGTCAGGCAGCCATTGTTAGGTTGAGCCAGTCCTAGTAAGTAGACCTAGTGAGGTAGTGCTGTTGGTAGGCTACAATGACAGTACTAGAAGGTGAGAGTGACAGACTACCATCATTCAGCGGTCTCAGATTACTACATATTCCAGGGGTAGGTGAACTCCGGCCCCCCAGCTGTGATGGAACTACAGATATCATGAGGCATTACAAGACTGACAGCCCCAGGCATGCATGCATGATGGGATTCATCATTTCACCACAGCTAGCAGGCCGGAGTCTGCCCAACTCTGCCATATTCTTTCACACTCCCACCTTGGACAGCTGCCACACTGACATGAGACTTAAAGGAGAACTCTACCTGGAGAAAGGCTGCCATCGCTGATCTCCTGGAGGTGTCCGCCTTCAATACTTTCCCAGTCACTAACTTGGCGTCAGCATGCAGCAAGACACAACTAATCTGCATGCTGCTCCTTTGTCAGTGGCTCAGGAGGGAGTGACGCATTAATAGAGCAGTCAGGCTCAAAAGACGAGTTCAGCAATGGCGTCCTCTCCTCTTTGGTCACAAAGTAAAACCCCAATTCAGAGGTCGCATCAGTGGCACTTGACGTATTTCATACGACAACTTGTGTATTCCGTCCCCAGGCCATTCCAGCGCACAGTGACGCTGCAGAAAGACAGTGCAGGACATGTCGGGTTCATTGTGAAGAAAGGACAGATCACATCACTGGTGAAGGACGGCTCGGCCGCCAGAAACGGACTGCTAACTAATCACTACCTGTGTGAGATCAATGGGCAGAACGTCATAGGACTCAAGGTAAGCCGAGCGCTCATATAGGGGGGGGGGGCAGAATTGTATACACACCTTGCAGATTCTTTACTTCAGCATTTGGATTTCTCCTCCATTGTTTGTCCTTGTGACCCCCTGTTACTGGAACAGGAAGTGAGGAGAAATCTCCACCAGAAAAAGAAAGCCAATCTGAAGCTCCCACCAGATCCTCCTCGTTACTAAGGCCTCGTTCACACTATCCTTAGTGCGCGCACTGTGGCCGGCTCAATTTGTTGTGGGGCGGGAGGGGGCGTGGCAGTGCATTGAGGTGAATAGCACCATAGCCACGCCCTCCTGCAGCAGTGCGATCGGCCACACAAGGCACATCAATGCCTGGGGTCCGGTCTGGTCAGAAATAATGCTGCAAGCGCTATGATGTGCCGTGCATTCCCGTGCGACTGATTGCGGCCAGAGGGCGTGGCTGTGGTGCCATTCACTTCAATGCACCGCCACACCCCCTCCCAAAACAAACTGAGCCGGCCGCAATGCGATCCAGTGTGTTGGGGCCACAAATCGGGCCAGAAAACACTGGGGATGGTGTGAACAAGGTCTAAGGAAGACGGGTAAGACATGGATGTGTCCGCAGAAATCTCCCCAAAACAGGCTTAGAAGACAGCACCACTCTCCTAACATGAGAAAGCTGCACAGACCCGATAGATATATCTATCTATGAAGCTGACAAAACAGACACAGACCCTTTTACTAATGATCTAGTCACGTCTGCACCAGACACAGCCTGGAGAGAAGAGCGGCCATTTTCTGGGGTTCACAGCCAGGCATATAGGAGGTGAAGGAGCTTTCCCATCCTATATGCAGGATCTGCCCATCCAGTGTTCTTGCTGCATGGACTCAGAGGGGCATGGGAGCGTTCTCTGCCAGGTTACCAGCAGACACTTCACATCCCGTACACATTCTATCATTCTGGATCGAAAACAAATTAAATCTGGTTTTGGTAATTATGTGCGCTTTCTATTTCACTCCGAAACAGGTCTGCGTTGTTATTGTGACACACACACACACACACACACACACACACACACACACACACACACACACACCCCCCTCGTACACCAGCGCTATTATAATGACTGCGGAAACTTCAGTTCCCACATGTATCATGTACACAAATCAGAAGTAAAAACCATGAACAAAGTGAACACCAATCATTGCCTTCCAAATATGATGCGTGACAGAAAAACACCAGAAAATGTGGATTTTATAGTAAATCAGGAGTAGTACTGACATCCCAAACAGATCAGTCATGTGACAGCGTGTTCTTCTCTTTTCACAGGATCGTCAGATTGGGGATATTTTAGCATCGAATGGCCCCAGTGTGACAGTGACGGTGATCCCCAGTATCATCTATGATCACATTATAAAGAGGTAAGACCACGTGTCCCCCTTGTATACAGAGATCGTGTCCGTCTGTCTGTCATGTCACACAACCATTTGGTACAATCCCGACATGCACAGAGCTAGAACTCCCCATTCACATGTTACATGTAGCCTGAACCCAGTTCCTGAAGGTCACTTAGTCCCTTTCAGACGGTCCGGTCAGGTCCACCTGTCAGTTTTTAGGCAGATCCGATTGGAAGCCCAATGTTAGTCTATGGGCAGCCGGATCTAAACGGACTTGCATCCACTTACATCCCATTACCCCGGACTAGGAACACGTCCTGAATAAGAAATCAGAGTTCTGATTTGACAGACCCGATTGTGATGGATGGAAGGTAAATCAGATGTAAGCGGACATGTGTCCATTACCGTCAGACTCCCCATAGACCTACCATGGGTCCGGTCACGATGGAGGAAACAAACTGATCAGACTCGAATGTCACAAGAGTGACATTGTTCCATACTGCTCCGACCTGTGCACGGATCCCCTGCTGATGGGAATGGAAGGTGCCAGACAATAGTGACACACGTGTATGTAGAACAACATTTCCAGGCCTCATGACTAAACTGCGGGTCAGAGCAGTGATTTTCCTTCCCATGTTCCTTGTCATACCAGCAATGCATGTGTGATGTTTGGGTACACTGCTATAGGGAAATCCCACACACCTCCTCACCACCTATGAAGCCTTGTGGGGAGCAGTGAGAAGAGGAGATGGGAAGAGTTATTGGGGATGATCGATCCCATAATGGTTTCTTTCTTTTTTTTGCAGAATGTCAGCCGGTATCATGAAGAATTCTATGGATCACGCTATCCCAGAGGTGTAACACGCACATTGATGACATGACATTCCAGTTCCATGGTGCGGGGAGGAAGTCCAGTTCTACAATGCACTTTTGTCTTCCTCCTGGTGGGGGAGATCTGACGGCGCACATCTACCCAAATAACAGAAGCCACGTTTCCCTGCCCCCCTCCTTGTTTTACCCCAAATACAGTAATCTCATCATGTACTGCTGCCTGAATGTCCACACCGGCGGGCCCGTCTGTATGGACAGTCCAGTGGGTGAGTTGCAGCAATATGAGAGAGGAGAAGATGGAAGTACACACGTCAATCTACATTCATCACTTTACATGTAACGCAGCCAACCGATCAACACCAGCAACTTCCTCCAGTCATCTGCATATCGAGGCAGATCAGGGCAATGCTATACACCCGTGTACACTCAGATTCACAGGCGTGTGCTGCGACATTCACCCCTAGTCAATCTTTTCTCTATCCCATTCCCATAGGTGGCAGACTACACACATAAGGGGTAAGACATTCTAAACGTGCGCCAGTTTGTTTTGTTTTTGTTTCTGTAACCTCATCTAGACTTAAACTGTTCAGAGGACGGACACTTGTAGCTTGTGATGTTTTAACGAGAACCTGTCATCCATAAATAGTCAAAAAGTACATTGAAGGCTCGGCCGACATTCAGCCCATCACCAAGCGAATGATGCTGCAGTGACATCACTTGTGATACAATAGGTTGCATGGTGGTCCAGCAGTCAGAGATCGGCCTTCACTTTTTATTAATGACAGGTACTCTTGTATGTGATCTCTTGTCTATAAACCTTATACCGCTGTGCTGGTACACCCATCTTATCTTATATTCATTGTGACTTTAATAAAGGAAATGAGTGAAAGCTCTTACCGTTCCTCTGGGTGTGCTGTGAACGTTGTGCAGGGGGATTTGTTGGAGGGCGTTTTGTCATCTACAAGTCACGTCAGGAGTAAAACACAGAGATGGTTATACATCTAATCTAATACAAGAGCAGATGACGTCTCCCAGGAAGCTGCGCCCCGTCCTCTGGATGTTCCCCCATAAAGAATATATCAGACTACAAGCCAAACTACAGAAGCCGTCTGCCATTTATGGCCAGGACCAGAGGAGGAGAGAAGCAAGGCCTAGAGACTCTAAAGGCCGTGACACACTGCACGCGAAGCAGCGGCGCGCTGCCTTTGCGAGCAGTGTGTCATGTCACTTTCTTCTCGGCACCTCAGCTTGCGAGAGCTCGCGGAGCTGAGCGTGCCGAAATGAACAATTTCAACTTCAGCCAATCGGCTCGCGCGTATAAACCGGCGCGACAGGATGCGACGTCTGGCCGGTTGTTACAGACGAGCCGATTGGCTGAAGGTGCAGTCAATCATCTGACTGCACTCAGCTCACACACTGCAGGCGAAGTTCCGTGCCGGAGAGCTTTGCTTCGCTCTGCACAGCTTCGCGTGCAGTGTCACGGCCTTTAAGGTTGTGTACGCGAGCCCTTTAAGGTTGTGACACACTGCACGCGAAGCCGTGCAGAGCGAAGCAAAGCTCTCCGGCACGGAACTTCGCCTGCAGTGTGTGAGCTGAGTGCAGTCAGATGATTGACTGCACCTTCAGCCAATCGGCTCGTCTGTAACAACCGGCCAGACGTCGCATCCCGTCGCCGGTTTATACGCGCGAGCCGATTGGCTGAAGTTGAAATTGTTCATCTCGGCACGCTCAGCTCCGCGAGCTCTCGCAAGCTGAGGTGCCGAGAAGAAAGTGACATGACACACTGCTCGCAAAGGCAGCGCGCCGCTGCTTCGCGTGCAGTGTGTCACGGCCTTTAGAAGGGAATTTATCAAATCTGGATCAGCTGTGCACAGCAACCAATCAGCTTCTCTCCTCACTCTGTTCAGTTAAGATGTGATAATGAGAGAGAGAAGCTGATTGGTTGCTGTGCACAGCTGATCCAGATTTGATAAATTCCCCTCTTAGTATTGCATTTTAAAAAGACATAAGAACCAGACATCCATGTACAGATCTATAGAGTTCATAGTGTAGAGCCCCTCTGAATGGATCTTGACTTAGAATCCCACCGCACCTGTGACTACTCCCATGTACTAACACCGGATCACCCAAAATACTGCCACCACACGGCCCCTTTTTACAGGAGCAGTTCTGTACATACCTTTCCGGCAGCACGCGTACCTTAAAACCGCCTCATCTCCGCTCCCCGGACGCAGCAAGGATTCAGCGGGTGGAAGAGACGGATACTTGCTCGCCCTGCCGGCCACTTTTGAGTCCTCCTGCACATATGTACATCCAGTAGTGACGCACGCGTTCCCAGGAGGAACTTCAGCTACGGAAGGGACAGCAAGTATTTGATGTACCCGGAAGTGTGGAACTCTTGCAGTGGCTGGAGAACCAAGAAGTAGCACCATTTCCATGACAATAGGCTGCCAGAAAGGCAAGTGTACACGTAGACCACTTAGAAAAAGGGACTCTGGCGACATTTAGTGTACGCGAGCCCGTGGTGACAGGTGACATTTAGTATATGCAAGCCCGCGGTGACATTTAGTATATGCGAGCCCGTGGTGACAGGTGACATTTAGTGTACGCGAGCCCGTGGTGACAGGTGACATTTAGTATATGCGAGCCCGCGGTGACATTTAGTATATGCGAGCCCGTGGTGACAGGTGACATTTAGTGTACGTGAGCCCGTGGTGACAGGTGACATTGTGTACGCGAGCCCATGGTGACAGGTGACATTTAGTGTACGTGAGCCCGTGGTGACAGGTGACATTTAGTATACGCGAGCCCTCGGTGACAGGTGACATTTAGTGTACGTGAGCCCGTGGTGACAGGTGACATTTAGTATACGCGAGCCCTCGGTGACAGGTGACAATGTGTACGCGAGCCCATGGTGACAGGTGACATTTAGTGTACGCGAGCCCGTGGTGACAGGTGACATTTAGTGTACGCGAGCCCGTGGTGACAGGTGACATTTAGTGTACGCGAGCCCGTGGTGACAGGTGACATTTAGTGTACGCGAGCCCGTGGTGACAGGTGACATTTAGTGTACGCGAGCCCGTGGTGACAGGTGACATTTAGTGTACGCGAGCCCGTGGTGACGGGTGGCATTTAGTGTACGCGAGCCGTGGTGACAGGTGACATTTAGTGTACGCGAGCCCGTGGTGACAGGTGACATTTAGTGTACGCGAGCCCGTGGTGACAGGTGGCATTTAGTGTACGTGAGCCGTGGTGACGTGACATTTAGTGTACGTAAACCCTTGCTGACAGGTGACATTTAGTGTACGCGAGCCCGTGGTGACGGGTGACATTTAGTGTACGTGAGCCCGTGGTGACAGGTAGGGCTGCAGCTAACGATTATTTTCATAATCGATTAATCGACTAATCGGACTTAAAAAAAAAAAAAGGCTCCAGTGATGGACTACTAGTTTGTATTGAGATTGTAGTCCATCACGGGAGCAAGCTTGGAGCGGTGGAAGTAAAAAAGAAAAAAAAAAGTGTGGTGTGCAATATAGTACATAATACAGCGGCGCAGTGCAGAATACCAGCAGCTATAGAGGAATGTAGCAATAGTACATTATACTATAATGTACTATTGCTGGGATTTGTAGTCCTCAATAGCTGGTGGTATTCTCCATTGCGCTGTATAATAATTATACTGGCAATGCAGATTACCACTGACCAGTTATAGAGGAACTACAAATCCCAGCAATAATACATTATACAGCGCGATGGAGAATACCAGCAGCTATAGAGGAACAACAAATCCCAGCAATAGTACGTTATACAGGCTGCCTAATATATTATTGCTGGTATTTGTTGTTCCTCTATAGCTGCTGGTATTCTACAGTGTGCCGCTTACCTGTTTCTGAACCCTTGTAAGTCGCTGAAGCGGCGGCGGCGTGCTCTGCAGGCGTGTGTCCGGCGGCCGTGTGCGCATGGCGTCCGCAGCGTGCATAGCGTAACTCGTGTATGGAGCTGCGAACAGGCGGGCGTGAGCGGGAAATTTAAATTTTAGTCGACGAATCGACGATGGAAAACGCTGACAACGTTTACCATCGTCGATTTTAATCGATTTAATCTAAAAATTGTTGCAGCTCTACAGAATACCAATGTATAATACAGCGGCACACTGCTGAACACCAGCAGCTATAGAGGAACACCAAATCCCAGCAATAATACATTATACGGGGTGTATACAGGCTGCCTAATGTATTCTTGCTGGGATTTGTTGTTCCTCTATAGCTGATAATGTTCTGCAGTGTGCCGCTTTTAAAAAAAAAAACAACACACAGAAAACATTAAAAAGCTCCCGGGCCGATCTCGACTTACCTTGAATGACAGTGTTGTCGGCGGGCAGCGGCGTTGTTCGTTCTCGGCAGGCAGCGGGCGAGTTGGGAAGCTCACTGGGAGGAGAGGGCCAGACGCATGTCCTCAGCGTGGGCGCGGCATCGCGTGACACCAGCGTAGGCGCGAGCGGCTTAACTGACGTGGGCGTGGCGTAAGCAGCGTGAGTGAGCGGCGAGCAGGAAATTTGAATTTTAGCCGATGAATCGACGATGGAAAACGTTGGCAACGTTTTCCATTGTCGATTTTAATCGACTTTATCGAATAATTGTTGCAGCTCTAGTGACAGGTGACATTTAGTGTACGCGAGCCGTGGTGACAGGTGACATTTAGTATACGCGAACCCGTGGTGACAGGTGACATTTAGTGTACGCGAGCCCGTGGTGACAGGTGGCATTTAGTGTACGCGAACCCGTGGTGACAGGTGACATTTACTATACATGAGCCCGTGGTGACAGGTGGCATTTAGTGTACGCGAGCCCGTGGTGACAGGTGACATTTACTATACGCGGTCACTTCCAGATGTACATACATGCAGTGATGGCAGACCTCACCAGCAGATGGCAGAGTCAATGACATCTCAGCTCTCCTGGGTGGAGGGTCGAGTAACAAAGAAGAGATCTTCACATTTACAATGGAACTGCCCTTCAAGAACACCTGAATGAAAACATTAGCTGCCATTAACTCTCAGCATGCCAGGAGAGACCACCAGGCAAACCCGATATGGCTCATGACTGTGGCTCAGGCCAGTTTAATACATTCAGCAGGACAGACAGCAAATGACAAGCGACATCAAAAAATAGATTGATCTCTATATATAGATTTATAGCTTTATAAGTGGCTACATTTACCTGTCCACAAAGCTCAGCGACAGGGAAGCAAGTGACCAAAGGATTCCATTCCGGTCACCGACTCCCAGGAATCGAAGAAGAACCAGGTAAGTGCATAAGAAAAGGTTTGGAAGTGCTGTGAAGTTTGTGGTAATCCCTACAAAGCTCCTCCAAGTGGTCATCACACACACACACACACACACACACACACACACACACTGCGATGTAAGCGACCAGCACAGACACTGCCACTCCAGCAGGGCATGGGGGTAACTTAATGGGAAAGCACCAACCCCAAGTGCAAAGGGCCTAATGGATATCAGAGGGTTCATGAAAACAAGGGGCAAATGTCATCATGGGATGCAAATGGGAGGCGGGGCTTAGCAACATCTCAACAATGAGCCAGCATCTGTGCGACATGCCATAATGATGCAGCAAATGCAGGGACTTGTGATCCAGTGACAAACATCAGCATTCATTTCTCTACAAAGAGTCAATGAGCCCAAAACGTGCCAGTGATCCTCTCTATAAAGAGCCAGCAACACTCGCCGAGTATTTAACAACCATCAGACACCCAATTTCAGGATGCGTGTTAATGCAGCTATTGCTCTGTGGGATCAGACATCATGTGACTGACTTCAATTCTGATTACTGACAGGAAGTCAGCCATATGCATGAAATATCCCCTACAATGTTATCATTCCACCTCTAAACTAACACTGGCAAATGTTCTAGCAGGTGTGTGCTGGCCCTTTAAATTGTGATACAACCCAGACAAGGGAACACAAGAAAGGGAGGTAGGAGTGGTTGGGCCGACATGCACTCCATGGTACAGAGGTAGGAGGTAGGAGGTATGCACGCAGGTCAAAGTATTCTCACTTTACCGTTACAGACAAGTACAATGGGGATTGTTGCACACATGGCAAGGTCCCACCCGAGGACAAACATGTCCCAACAGCAGCAAAAGAAGAAAAACACATCCCCCAAATTCCATAGACTAGAACAGACTGACAGGGAATGGGCAAGAATCATGATTCTAGGTGACAATAGTCGGGCCTCCGACTGGTGCCGTACAGCACACGGCATGCACCCGTCTACATATACACGACACTGGTCCACACACACAACATATATGTACAGATTACATTCAATGGCAATGCATTGCTCCCTTAACTCCCTGCCACGTACTGTGATGTGCAAGCGTACATGGGCACAAGCTGCACGCATGAGAGCAGGTGGAATTGCATGTGTGTGTGTGTGTATATATGTGTAACACATGGGATAGTTCACATTCTAGTGACACAGACAGGTGGTAGGTGGGCAGGTGACATGTGGTACATACACACCTCATGTCTGCGCTGTCGTCAGCGGCAACTATATAATGGACCTAGAGGTATGTACAACGGACACAGCCGGTCGCACAATGTGGACTGGCCTCTGAGTAGATTAACCCAATAGCGCCCCCCCTCAGTCAACACCTATGACCCTCTATCTTCGGATGCGTGCCGTTTTGTTTTCATAATTACTCCATTCCATAAAGTCTGATCACTGATTATCCTCAGCATAAGACGTCTCTGGCTCATCTCCCTTCCACCCCATCCAGTTCACAGGCAACATACAAAGGGGGCGGCAGAGTCCCACAAAGTGCTAAGTTTAGGGTCCGGGGACAGCCAGAGTTATGGCTGGCTTGCGGAGGCACTGACTGGGCGGCAGCTGATCTTGCGAATGGAGTGCAAAGCGACCGTGCAGCAGCCACGCATCAGGGAGCTGATGTTATACACCGGCTGTCCTTGGCGACGTTGAGCGCGGCATAACCAGGCAACCGTGGGTACCACAGGGATCAACACAGCCAGTAAGTCCACCACAAAGTGCCGACTCCAGTAATTGAGTGGCGCATCAGGCTCCTCTGCTTCCCCACCTTCGGCCCCAGAGGCTCCGTCAGTGACCAGCACTACACAGCTTGGGTCAGGATTGGCAGATTCTGGCTCTTTGGGGTCCTGGGATGTAGGGGTGCCAGCCATCTGTGACTGCAGAACCTTCTCTATGATAGTGTCTGGCTCAGGGGTGCTCGCCGCTTCGTCCGTCTGCACAGCACAGTCACTCACACTGCTGGCCTGTACAGCAGCCTCGGCACATAGAGGAGGTGGGTGCACGCTGAGACACAAAGGCCCCTCACCAAGGTAGAACTCTGTACCAGAAGAGACAGCGCTGCTGTCAGCGTACCCACTATCCCCGGTGTCCTGAGAGTGGTGATCTCCGACTGGAGGCTCGCTGAGTTTGGTGTAGGTAGAGCTGCGGGTGAGGGAGCGAGCTGGCGAGTCCCCAGCGGAGCCTCCACCTTCTGCCCCACACGGTGCCCCATCCTGTGCCAGCTCCATGTTCTGCAGAAGAGTTTCCAGCTTACGATTCTGCAGCGTGATGTCAGCAAAGTATTTCTGGACCCCCGTGTCACCGTCTCCCAGCCGTCCCCGGACACTATCCATGACCTCTTTGAGCTGCTGGATTTCCCTCTGCGCCGTCTTGAGCGCCAACTGCGCCTCCACCCGATGGCACTCTTCCTCTATCCAGTCCTCCTGCATCCGGCCCAGCTGGGAACGCAGCTCATCGACCTCGGAGTCTCTGAAAGACAGGGGTGAGGGATGAGGGGGGGGGAATGGATTAGCGAGTTGACAAAATTAGGTATTTTGTACTCACCGTAAAATCCTTTCTGGAGGTCCATTGAGGGACTGGCAAGCAACAGAATTGTAGGCCAGCACAGGATAATTTTCCCGGCCTCAGTTTTCTAGTAGTACCAAGAACATGATCATAAAAACACAGAGGGGTGGGACCTACAACAGAACTGGGGACTTTCTGCAGCCCAAGAGCCACCCAAATTGAACACCGAATGAGACCCAACCCCTTGCCTGACAACCTGTCACCGGGACCAGGAGGGAATACATGGAGAATAAAGCAGATAACCAAGTCCAGGGGAAAAAAAATAGTCACCAACTAGCTGGACTAAGACGTAAGGCCCCAAGCCATGATGGGTTGTGGAGAGAGAAGTGAGGAGCTCCACGTCCAGGAAGATTATGGTGACAGCCAACCATCTCGTCAAAGTAAGTATTACCAGGGAAGGATGCAGCAAGACTAGAAGCAACCTGTGAAGGGTATGAAAGTTACTTCTTTGTCACCCGTCCTCCAGAGAAGCCAGGATTCAATCCCGCTTAAGTAAGCCTGGCTAAAGAGGCAAGGTGCATGGGAAGCACCCCAACAAGGGTAGGGAGGAGATGGAAATTAGAACCAAACCATAAGCTAGTGGGATTGATTACAACCCTAACAAAAGGCAAGCATGAAAATAGACACCACTGCCACCAGTATGAAAGAGACACCACTGGGTAGGACCTCTGCCACCGGTATGAAAGAGACACCACTGGAGAGGACCTCTGCCACCGGTATGAAAGAGACACCTCTGGAGAGGACCTCTGCCACCGGTATGAAAGAGACACCTCTGGAGAGGACCTCTGCCACCGGTATGAAAGAGACACCTCTGGAGAGGACCTCTGCCACCAGTATGAAAGAGACACCTCTGGGAGGACCTCCAAGTGGAATAGCCCCCATCTCCCCACAGCCAACAAAGCAGTATCATCTGCTCTGCCCCTTATTATGGTCCTACATACCCCAAGGGAAAATAATTGCACTGAACAGGAGTGCGGGGGCCAGAGTGGAAGGTTCTGAGGCACAGCTGATAGAGCAAGCATCTCACTTTGGGGATATTATGAAGTAAAACAAGACATGTAATATGTGCCTAAGAGCCTCACAGGGAAGCAAACATATATGATGTATTCTCTAACAGTAGGCCGTCTGATACTTCATTCTATGTTGACTAGTGTTGTCAAAATGACTTCTGCTGCCCAATTTCCCATACCTCTTGTAACCATACCATCTACTGGTAGACCAGGGTTCTGATTTCTTGCCTTGTATGTATTCTAGAATGTTATAGCCAACACCCCTGTATGAAGGACTTTAGAACATTCGGATACAGCGATGATACCATAGCAAAAACCTAAAAGTGCGCAGGCAAATTCATAGGTATACTTTAATAAGCCCCTGCAGTAGCACATACTCCGCTCAGGAGCAAGGAAAGAAAGCCCTATGCAATTTCTAAGTCATTCCAGTTGGGTTTTACACAGGGCCAAGGACACTTTCGCTACCCCGTGTGACAATACTGGGCCAATCAGCAACCATCAGCACTGTCTGAGACAACCAAGGCTAAGCCATCCTTGTCTTGCCACCAGCGTACAGAATACCATCAGTAGGAGCTACAATAAGTGATCTCACCTTTCGTGCAATGCATCCTGCATGTCTCTCAGTCTGGCCCTCAGGTGGCGGATGCAGACCTCTTTCTGCTGCAGGGGGGTGAGATATTGTTCTGGGGTGGGAGGTTTGATCCCATGGTTTTCACTGCACAGACTGTACTTATTGGACCTCCTAAAAAAAACAAAACACAATCATGTATAAATAAAGATACAAATAGGTGTATTACCTGATATGTTCCCTGAAATTCCCTGCAGGGATCCACTACCCAGTCTATATCTTTCCTTCTCCTGCCATTACTCCTTCCAAAAGTTAAGTGACCCTGTCACCAGATATATTCATATTTAGTACATGCATGCCTAGTCATGTGTAAATGCAACCGGTATGAATTACGTCTCAGAGATCACAGAACTCCCTTTGATCTCTTCCCATGATCTCCTCCTCCCATCTGCTTTTCCTTTCAAAAGGATGGCACCATCTTTGCTCAGGCATCATACAGGGTTACCATCCAATTCCTGGACTCCGATACTAGCTCAGACACTCCTACTGCCTATGTAATTCTTGGTTAAATGTTACAGTCTGAGCGATCACTGGGGCAGAGGAGACTGAGGAAATGTTTCATATTGCCTGCAGCAGACTGATATCCAAGATGATGCCTAGAAAAAAAAAGTGGCTGACTGGAGCGCAAGGATGTTTTGTTTTTTTTTAATGATAAAAGAAACTTACAACTTTAAGAAGTTACTAAGAAGTCCAACTAAAGACTTTGCACCTTGCATGTAGGCCTGACAATTATAATAAGCACAGGGCTGCATGCAACAGACAATGTCTTAAAATGGACCTTCTAATAGCTTTACAATGTACCATCCTTAGATGAATGGACAGGCCTCTGCAACCCTTCCACCCACACTTCCCTTATTCTTGGTCTGTCTTCCAACCAGTACCATGATGCTGCCCAATCACACATAGCTCTGTCCCTATTAACACCATCACATGGTTGGCCAGATCAATAACTCCCTTCTGCATGGTTATGCCCTCAAATACTCTGCACTGCTGTAAGCATTTCATGTATTTGATCAATCAGAGGTTCTTCTGAACTGATGCACAGAGAGACTCAGAATATGAAGACAGATTACTGCACTCTCACTAATCAAACTCATAAAGTAACACTTCCCTGCTTCACAGAGAATCAGACTAGTAAGCAAGCTGTGTTCACCAAGCAATTTCGTATCACTATCAGGGACTTGGGTACTGGTAGGTCTACAATTGAGTTCCCAAGAACGCCTACCTGCTGAAGCCATTAAAAGGGGTCTCCCTCTCCTACATGGATTTTAATTTTGCATTCTTTGTGAAACAGCAAAAGGAAAAAGACTTTATGCAAGTGCACCATAAGGGGAGAGCCAAGACATCCAATATTAACCTACCAGCATCCAACCTTACTAAGATATTAATTTAGATGTAGCAGTTACTAAGGCTGTATGGGTAGGTTTTCAATGGCATTTGACAGGTCCTCTTTAAAAGCACAATTCAGTTGTCAGATTATCAATTATAACATAATGTGGCTGATTTACCTGGAAGAGGGACTGCTATCGCTTCCTTTGTAGGAGCTGGAGGTGCTACTGCTCACAGAGGATGTTCCATATGGGTCCCTCATCATTGAGACAGGAGGCGAGGCTCGCCTGTGGTGGAACAAAAAAGAGAAGTTGCAATATACAGCAAAAGGGGAAAAGAAGCGTTTGCACTATACACAAGGTGACCTTACCTACGCGAACCAATAGATGGCCTCCTGCCTCCGGGGACAGACATTGGGGCACTGCAGCAAGGGGGCACAAGAGGGTGGCAGAGAGCTCCTCCTACAGTAGCAAATAAAATACGTATAAGTGTGGCTGATACTTTAGTGTTTGGGTTTAGATCTACTAAAGGGTTAACATGTGTGAACTGAACTGGTGTGAACAAGCCCTTAGTGTTTACACAACCCCGGCTACTTCATAAAGGCAGCAGCAGGGAAGGGGTCTGCAAATTATTATATATATA